AATAGAAAACAGAGCAACGTCGCTCAACTAATTATTGTGTTTTGCGCATAATTTTTAACCGATTTTGCTCATCAGTATCTTATTAAAAAGATATTTTAATTATCTATCAAATGAGTATATATTAATAACTGTTGAAACAAGTAACAAAGATAAAAAATGACCTTGAATTGAAAAATTACTGTTTTTGTCCTGAAAACCCAACTTTGCTCGAGTGGCGCAATGTCATTTTTAATCCTATTGCTCCAAAACTTTGGGAATATCATTTTTTTGGTCAATGGCATATTCCTAGGGGGTGCGCTCATTAAAAATCGCATTTTAGTTTTTCTGAGCCACCCTAATACGTCATCTATACCGGCGCAGTTTTACAATTATACCATCCACTCACAGAAATGCGAAGACAACGCGTAATTTATATGCGGCAAAGGAGACATTTATCAGGGTACATGACACCAACCCATTATTGAGGCAGATTTCCTCAATAATGGGTACAGGTTAATAATAGAGGTTAACATAAGTCGAAAAAAACTTTATGAAAACATCACAAGACTGTCTATCAATATTTCTTTTTTTATCTCCATTTATTTTATTACAATCTGTCAGGTATGAATGACAATAAGTAATATATATTAACATGAATCGTAATAATAATAGTTATTACGATCTAAAAAAGAAAGGCACGTATGGACTATGTCTAGTGACATATCCATATATAATTAAAATAGAAGTGTTTGACCTACATATACATATTTAAAACGTATCTCGATGTTTTTCTTTTTAACCTTGTAAAAGTGTTGGAGGGGGACATTATTTAGTTGTGTAACCAGCGGGTTTGGATGCATATATATGCGACGAGCGTAATTCTTTGTAATTCGAGATATTTCTTCCATGATTACATACCAAGGTGCATTTGTGATCCTTCGTAGTGTTTTTGATTGAAAACACTGGATAATTGTCAAGTTTGAGTCTGCTGCAGTACCCCATAGTTGGGCTCCATAACTTCATATACCTAGGTTTAAGTACAGTTTTGTATATAAGCAGCTTATTGTCTAGTGACAGTTTGAAATTTGGCCTGAGGAACCAAAATAAGTTACGCTATTTGAGACCCAAGGTTTTACGCTTATTAAATATGTGTGGTTTCCAGGTTAGTTTATTATCTAGATGGATATCCAAGTATTTTGTTTCTACAGCTTGTGAAAAATGAGTTTTGTTTATTAAGACAGACGGGCACGTAGAACGTTTTGTAGTAAATGTTACTTGGACAGATTTTGACTCATTTGGTTTGATACGCCAATTTTTCATTCAGAGAGTAACATTGTTAAGGCAGGTTTGTAGTTTGGTGGAAGCACGAATTGGGTCATTGTCAACTGATAAAATAGCTGTATCGTCTGCAAATGTACCGATAACACTCTCATCGGTAAGGGTAAGATCCGCAGTATATACAAGATAAAGCGTTGGTCCCATTATGCTATCTTGATGTACTCCTGATCCTATATCACAAAATCCTGTAATTTCGTTTCCATGCTTTTTGAAAAAGTGCCTTGCCGAGAGATATGATTTAATAAATATGAAAAAATGTACGGGTTTTAGTTTAAAAAAAAGGCCCACATGCCATACTTAATCAAAAGCTTCTGAAATATCTATAAATTCCGTAGTGCAATATTTTTTACCATCTATCGCACTATGAATATGTCTGACAAGTCTATGAATTTGTTCTATTGTGCTATGTTTTTGGCGAAAGCCGAATTGATGGTCAGGGATGAGTCTGTTTTGTTGAATAATCGGTGTAAGGCGCTTTAGAAACAGGATTTCTATAACTTTTGACAGGATCGGAAGTAGAGTTATTGGCCGATATGTTTGTCATCTTCTAGAGTTTTCTCTGGTTTCGGTATCATGGAAATTTGCGCTATCTTCTACTGTGGCGGAATAAACCCCCTTATTATCACAGCGTAAAGTAGATGAGTGAGAAATACAAATCCTTTCAATATGACTGAAACAAACGCTACGTTCGATAAAATCTTCACCGTAGCACCTATCAGCAATTGCAATTTCGAAGCACTCTTACGAGAGCACAACGTGTTACTGATGCTTTTAAATTTGCAGCCAGACATAAAAAAGCAGCCATGCATTATAAACAGCAGATATCCGTAATTCTCATGGCTGCGAAGGCCCAATCCCGAAAAACTGGGGATAGCAAAACGATTTTACTTTTAATAAAATGGTATATGAAGTTCTACACACAATAGCGAATGCATTGGAGCTGCGGTTGAATACATACTGTGATTACAACGGACTATTAACAGTCAAAACTATTTGCGGAACTAAACCGTCTCACTGATTCCAGGTATATAAGAATAACGACACACCATCCCCAAACGAATGACATGGTATAGCGCATACACTGTACACTGAAAAATGCAATCAAGTGTCATCCATACATCCATTGTGCTTAAACCCTGTCGCTGGTGCTACTTGGACTTCGTACAACATCGTACAGCATCGCTAGCGGAGTTAGTGTAAGTTCCAACGATCAACCATGCAAAACCAACAATTCTTATTCAAAGCGACTAACCCAAAGGCACGCATATTGAATCAAATTCCAGCTGTCAGCTTCATGTTATGCAAAAAAATTCAATCCAGAAGTATAAACTATCAGATATCATTTTGTCAACTGCGTGTTTGTTTAACAAATATGATCTGCAGTATTTGTGTTAATAATTTAATAAAGTAGCATAATAAAGTTAACAAGTGCTTATATATATTGAATTAAGTATAATCTGATCTGAAAGATCAGAGAAAAAAAATTTTTTTGTGTAATATTATTATTTAAAAGTTTTGAGCTTTCATTTTACGTCTTAATGTTAAGGATATGTAATCTTCTAACCTTTGAATTATCTATTTTAATTTTGTTTTTTTCTTTTACAATAAACCATAACTTTTTCAAATTGCTGTTATGAAATTATATTTGTTTTAAAGATACAGAAGCCTATTCGTCTTTTTTATAAAAATTAAATAAAAATTTAAATATTTTATACAAAAAAAATATTCGGACTTAAACCATACATTTCTTACCCTTTACTTTCCCACCGTTCCTTTTCAAATCCTTTATGTATTGATTGTGCTATAGACGATTCCATTAAATCCACATATCGAACAACAAGTGGAGCAAATGTGTCTCTCAAATGCTGATGAAATCTGCCATTTCGAAGATTATCTTAAATTTAAGTAAGATAATAGCAACTTTTTTAGTATATACTCAAACGTATTACAAACCATCAACTCGTAAATAATCATTAAGTATTTGAAATAACGGAAATGAATCCCAAGTATCTGGCGGTTGCTCAGACAGAACGCGATCCATATCCACAGCAAAAAGAGACCAAAATATTTCAGCATGTTCCACCAGAAGATCACTAAACCATGCAAACGCCTGTTTTTGATATGATGAAATTAGTTATTCGAGTTTTTAAACTTTTTTAAACTGTATATAAAATAGAACGCATTTTAGTAAATGTACAAAAATTTTCAATTATTTTAGTCTTGAAAGTGTCAATTTTTATTATTCGTAATCATTTTCACAAAATAAAACTTAAAAAAGCTAGAAATACATAACCACAATATTTGTAACGAAACTGCTCAGCAAAATATTAAAAGCATGCAATTAATTTAAAAGAAACATTAACATTATTGTGTTCATTAAAAGTGTCAGGTACTATATGAAAACCCTTCTCTAATGAGTGTGGATTATGTAAAACTCATAACTGAAGTCATTTCTGTGCCACCTGCTTAACTTTTTATTTTATGTTGCTAATATTGAGTAACGTTCTGTGCAGAATGCTGTGATATGCGTTGTGCAGCAAAGCATTACCAAATGTTTAAAGCATCTGTTTCAAGTCATTTGACGTATGATGTATGCAACTGGATGTCAACATGAGAAACTCGCTGTCACATTCGATTCAATACATTTATTCTCATTGTTGAAACTGCTCTGAATGACTCAACCTAACTTTAGAACGACAAAAACTACAACAGTTTTTTAATTTGCATAACTTTTCAAACTAAATAAAATAAGAAGAGTTTTGTGAGGAAACTCTGTGACTATCCAGCCTAGATTTGAGGCAGGACGAGGTCAGTGGGTCGAGAACTACTTTCCCTTCTGACATTAGGAGGTCTTCCACGGCTGACATTTTGGCTATCATTCGTAGAGCGGAGAGTCTTCTGTTCGGTTAGGGTCTGTAGCAGCACAAAATATCAACTATAGTCGAGGTGTTCCGATTCGTTAGGAGACGGTACCCTGTTTATTAATATTCTATTCTATTTGTGATGAAATCTTTTTTGTAAATGATCTTTTAACCTGTCCGGTTAGGGTCTGTAGTAGCACAAAAGATCAACTATGGCGAGGTGCTCTGATGCGTTAGGAGACGGTGCCCTGTTTATTAACATTCTATTCTATTTGTGATAAATCTTTTTGTTAATGACCTTTTGCAAATGTGCGGACTAAGCGAAAACACACGATTTTGTCGGAAATATTTACACGATATAACACTATTTTGACATGGGTTGGGTATACCGAGGACAAAAGGAAGTTTTAAGTTATTAAGAGGCCGTGTGCAAGGAAAGACTAGAGGGCTATAATACCATCTTTTGATTTGTTAATTTTATCAAATTATTATTACGTTGAAATTTAAAGAAAAATATTTTTGTTTGCATATCTACGTCGGTCTAGTTTTTTTTACACTCCACTTCTTGTACTTAAATAAAGTACACCACATGGTTTGAATACATACATATTTCAACTACATGTAAATTACATTCATAAATAGTCAAAAATAATTATTGTTTTGCTCATATTATTTGTTTGTGTATATAACAGTATTCTACATCAAATAACCATAAACATAATAGGTATATAGTACTTGTACTCGCATGTGCGAATATTCTCTAAAAAAAACTTGCTTAATAGAAAATATTACTTAATGATTATATATTAAAAGAAATGTATTAAATTAATATTTTGACAAATCAGTTAATTTCACAATATTTTTAAGAATGGTGTAACAAAATTAAGTTATAAGTTATGAATGTTTCTAGATAATTTCTAGATATTTCTAGATAATTTCTTGAAAAGAAAACATTTTTGACGTGTATATATGTATATATTTGTACGTATATAAAACCAAAAAATTTAAATACATCTCTGCAATTAATATATCCATCATCAGATCATAATGGCAATAATAAAATTCAAATGTTAAAGCGATGTCATTAGGATATTAAGGAAAGTTTTATAATATGAAGTTTGTTTAAAGTTTAAAAAATAAAAAACTTGGCATGTTTATTTTTTTTCGACATATTTCTCTTATAGTCAAAGAACACTAAAGAAAGCCCTCCAAATTTTTATATGTGTAACAAGTAACACGGTATCACACGAATTACGTCGACTGATTAAAGCAAAACCGTATTAAAATAGTCCAACTTTCAAAAAACGACGAATTCCGTGAAGGTCGTCCAAAAACGATCGTTGTGCCAGAGAACATTGATGCCGTGCGTGAACTGATAATGCAAGAACGTCATGTGACATACCGCGAGATAAAGGCATCCTTGGGCATTTCTCCTACCAGCATACATTCGATATTGCATTAACATCTGGCCGTAAAAAAGGCTCGTGTTGATTGGTGCAAAGAAACCACAATTTGTATGCAATAACCCCACCCCCTCCATCTACCCCCTCCATTTTTCTATCTTTGTCACGCACCTGTTTAGATAAACCTACACTGCTATGTACTAAGTCTCTTGATCTCAATTAAATCTCTCAATTATTGAAATGGAGATTCCGCATTACCCTTCATGGCAGCGGTGGAAATCTTCTCACACTGTGGCTGCCGATGCTTTCCACCAACTGCAAATTTGAAAAAAATATATAATAAAATTATCAGTTGATAAAATGCTTAAAATGCTTCACATCCAAGAATATATTACTTCTTAGTAAAAATTCTTATTTTTATTAATCCTTTCACTATATATCAAATAAGAAAATTAGGATAAGGATATAAGGAAATAAGAAAAAGATATCAAAATAAGGAAACATAGCATGAACATCAGTATTGATCATTTAATTATTCAAACTGTACCTAACATTGTCATTAAATCTTCAAGAGATAATACTAAAGATCCACCACTGAAAAATATTGAAGCACGCAACTCTAAGAGGGGTGAACCCAAAGCTGTCACCTTACGCTATGGTAAGTAGATGCACTTCACTTATTAAAAAATATGGTAATTTGTCAACTAGCTTGATAGCCTAATGAATATTTTCTTTCATTTTATAATATACTATCAACTATAACTATTATTTGTTTATAAGCAAAGTGAAAAACATATTTACAGTAAGCAAAAAAATGGATATGGAATTAGTATGTATGAGCTTTATAGTCTCTTTATAATATATATAAGCAGTAGTTGTTTATAAATTAATTTTAAAATAGCAAGCAAATGAATAGGTTTCGAATCGAGTATATGCCTGTATATCGAGTATATCCCCAAAAAAGAGGTGTTGCGAGTGGGTAGTAAATCTCAAGCAAATTAATTGAATACTAATAAGCATGTGATAAATCACGTGGCTGGCAAGTGGCGTGATGAAGGTATTTTCCTGTATGCATTTTAAAGTGTATACTTGAGTATATTCACAGTTTTTATACATATTGATAGTTCATAATCTAATAAGTTATTTGTAATAATAAAAAAAATGTGATAAATAAGATAGCATTCCTTTTTGTAAAAAAAAACTGAATAACATTTTTGACTACTCTGTGAAAAGGATACTGAAGCGCTATAGTTCTTTGCATAATGTATATTAAGTTAAAATATATACATATACTATTTGTATATATACATATATACAGCTACATATTATAAATTAGTATATACATAAGTTTTTCCTGAGGTGACAACTGTGTTTGTAAAACAAAAGTTATATCTGATAATTTATTGATGTTGATGAAAACATATAATCTGAAACTGTAATAGCAGCACTTCGCGATAAGCAGATATACTCATTGGAAAGTATGTTCTATATAATGTGTGTAACGTAACGATTATAAAGTAGTTTAATTGCTGATTACCGCGTATATCCAGACGAACTGAACAGATTTCATTGTGAAATATTATGAGACTTATTCGCTTATAACTGGCTTATTATGATAGCAGTAAAAAAAAATCTTTAAAAAAGTAGAGTATTGTATTGAAAATTATAAAAAAATATACATTATTAACATAAAACTTTGAAACTAAAGTAATTACAAAAACAAGGATAATGCAACTGAAGGCGTATGGGATGAATAGATTTGCGCAAACATTCATAGAGTGTTGGCGGTTGCATTTTAGCTTACAACATCGGAGAGTGCGGTATTGACCTTATCAACAACTGCAAATATGTAGTTGAAACTGACAAAGGTTTCTATTAACTCAGTTAAGTTTTAAATAAACAAAAATATATTTTGTTAGTAAATCCGATCGTAAATTATTACTGATTTTATTTATACATACATATGTATATGTATGTATATGATCTTAAATTGTGATCAATTTCTAGGTTTTAATAAACATATGAACAAAATTAAGAATAATATGAATGTTGATCATAACGATAGAAAAAGTGGATGATAAATTAATTCATTTATTTTAATATTTAGTGCATTGTATGCGAATATGTAAAATGTGATGGTATATAATATCATTCTATGTTTTATTTGTCAATGTTGGTACATGCCATTGGAACTGGTGATTGGTAGATTGCATGAGTCGGCATGCAGTATTGGAACGATGTTGCGCTATCACTTGCCAAAGGTTTCGACTCGTTAATTGATTTTGGTATTTCCACATCAGCATTTACATTTTGTGAAGCTGTGCCGTCATTTCCACCAATTTCATTCTTTTGAGTATCGTTGTCCCTTTTTTCCTTTTTATCATGTTTGCGTAACTATAAGGCATACATACACACTATACATATATGATTCTATAGTTAAAAATATGTAATGACATATTCAAGTTTTGATATACTTTTTTATATAAATCCATTGTGAGCAATACAAAAATGACTATTTACGCATAACTTATAACACTTTATGAATGTTGTTTGTTTCAAAATAAAAATGAATAAACTGTATATGGACTAACATAATGACATGGTTAAAAAATGTGTATTCATAACATTTTTTAATTCTTGGATATCACTCATACATACATTTATATAAGAACATATGTACAAACATTCATGTGCGTATACGAAAATATTTGAAGAATTACATACACGAAGTATTTTCTATCCTAAAATACTTGAGCACTTACCTCAGCATAATGTTCTTCATTTTGCTGCAATAGATCCACGCAAAGTTCTGCCAAATGTATAAGGTCCTCAAGTTTTTTTGAAGCCGATACAATTATTTCACCACGTAGGTCCTCTGATATATGGCGAGCAAAATAAAATACAAATTAAAAATTTCTCTTTCAAATATATATATGTATGTATGTGGTATACTAACCTTCTATTTTTGCTTGCGAAGACAACCGAGTATAGTTAACTAAAGCCGCTGTTTCCAGGCTTTTCTTAATCATAAGGCGTACTTCCTCAGGTGGTACAGGGGTTACAATATCTTTCATTAAAACCCTTTCTAATAATGAAAGCGTGGCTTTTAATGCACCTTCTGGTCTCCCAAAAGGAAAACAGAACCTGAAATTTGTAATTTGAAACTCCAGTAGCACTCGTAAACGTTCCTTAATTTCAGCAAATTTTTCCTTTTCTTCATGCGTGATGCTTCCGACACCGTCCGGCCTGCAAAAGTGACAAACACATTCAAAGTAACATGCTTTTAATATTATTTTAAAAATGATTGAAAATAGTATAAAATAATTGAATAAAGTGTAATTACTAATAAATGGAAATACATACCTATTTCCATGGACATGACTTGCACAAAACGCGAATGAATAATGAATTAAAGTTGGATCTATCATGGACTGCTTTTCCGCACGGTCTAGTAAATCAGACAGATAACATAAATGTCTGTAACAACCTCGTACACCGTAGCGTGCACAGTATTCATCTAATACGAAGACCTGACCCGGACTAAACCAACCCTATTAAGTATTTAGAAAAATATATTTAATAAAAATACAAAAACACGTTATAACTTATAATGTAATTACCAGTGACGCATAAGGGTCATTTAATCGATACTCAAGTGTTAAGTTTTGTAGAACCTTAAATAAAGTCGCATGATCAAAAGTACAAGGATCTGCACTGATGTAATCCTCCATACCATGTTTACGTGCTTTATCCGCATCTTCATAAAAAGAAAGAAATAAGATATATTGTGTAATCGGATATAAGTAGAAAAAGCAATATCTTAAAACTGCCAACTGATATATGTTACACGCTTGGTAAAAATTATTTTGACGTTAGTGGTAGTTAGTTGCCATGTAACGAAATATTCAAGACTATTGAATAATATATTGCTTTTGAAGCTTTCTATCATTTTGATCTTTGCTCGACTGATTCAGTGCTGAAACTAGTTTTGATAACATGTACTTGAACACTTATAAATCAGATCCAACGGTAGGCACTTTTACGAAGTTGTCGTTCTTCTGATGAACTGCTATAATTTTTCTAATTTACTATTGGGTTGGTTGATGGTATTCGCCCATTTTTTAGAAAGTACCGATTCTCATATTATTAGAATGTTGCCGCTATTTGTTTTTTACATTACGGTGACGAAGATATTTATTTATATTAATATCACAAAGATATCTACAGGGTCACCGCCTATAGAAGACTTGATTTAACTGATGGATTTGGTTCTAACGTTTGAGTGTGTTGGTTTGACAAGTAGAGAAAAGTTGACGCTTGGGCGACTCAATAAAAAATGTCTTGGGGATGACGTTGCTAAATTGATTGCCACACCATTTATTTATTTTGAAAACTTGGAGCAGTATCGTTTACTGAAGGTTGGTAATTTTATTTGAAAATGTACTCTTCTGTACATGTTTTACGTTGTTCACTTTCTACAACATTAAACACTCCATAAGCTGAAGAAACGTAATTTTCTAAGCGAACATCTATATATATATATAATACAGATTATATATTTTGACATCATCTGATAGTAGCTGTTGCTGAAAAAAGGACTCGCTAATGGAGTCAAGTGGACCATGCAACCAATGCAGTCAAAAATACCAATATTAATTTCTCATCTCAATTTAAATCACTATATTTGTGTTTATGCATTATATATGAGTTAAAATGTTTCACAAATTTTTGTCAAATTTAATTTCATTGGAGTACATTGAAGTCTTTAATTTAAGTTAAAGTTAAAGTGAAAAAGCTTCTGTAACTAAATAAGCACCATCAAGACAACACAAGAGTGTAGTGATTGAAGAATCACTTACGTCGCCTTTGGGTGCTTCTCTCTTTCGTCGTGCACAAGTGTATTCAAAATCTCCATGATATAATAAAGATAACAATTTAACTCGTCTTGTCACATCTTGTCACAAGATGCGTTGCGAAACAGCATCAGCAACATGGAAACCAACATGGAGATAATAGTTCAATGATGTCCTTGCTTTTTATTTATTTGTTTATTTCGCAGTTTACATTACAAGTTAAGCTTTGATCCTCCGTTAAAAGTTTTATCTGAAGAAATTTCGAATACGTCACCATAAATTTTCATGAAAATCATGAAAAAAATTGATTGATTCCAAAGACAACAGTAGTTGCAAAAAGTTCAACATGTGATTTCATTATGTAGAAGAAAATTGTAGAAACCTAACCGACAACAACGTGTATAGGTAGTTTTGTAAAAATTTAGGTCAGCTGGCGGTACAGTTATAAACTAGTGTCAAAACTTGGATAGAAAATTTTTTGTGGGCATTAGTGATTAAGAATAAGGGTGTGCACTTCATGCGAAATTTTGGTTGTACAGGTAAATAGCGACTGCGATACAGTATCTAGCAGAACTCGAATTATAGGATAGTCAAAATTATTGACATAACGAACACTTTTGTACATATTGCACTAATGCTGGCAAGCACTAGCCTTATAACCCAAAAATGTTAAATGTGACGGCAATCGCCATTTCACTAAATGCAAAAAACATTTGATCAAAAATCTAAGTGCATTAACTCAAAAAGAGAACATCCAGCTAATTATAAGGGCTGCACTTGCAATCTTACCATTGCACTGAAAAAGAATATTCAAAATACTACAGTGCTGAAACTAAAGGTTTTACCTTATTTGTGCTCTCATCAAAATCTCTTTTGCTTATGCAGCACACACTCTCCTAGGTAAGCCAAGTCAGGGCATTCTATTTTACGTAGAAATTGTGAAATTCCGCAACATCTTCATGATTTTGATTTGCAGCTTATTCAAGAAACATTTCTAAAATCTTCAATAAGCTGTACAATACCGGATTATTCAACATATGTTAGGTTGGAGTGGCGGCCTTGTTTACCAAGATAGTCCACTTGAGCACAAATAATGGCCCGTTGTAGCAAATTCAACTTATAGAAGTGATAGATTGCATTGAAAAGGTAGTGGAACAGTAATTGTAATAAAAAAAAGACTTTCAACACTACTCTATAATCAATAATACAAGTTCACTTGAATCTGTATCAATTGTTATAGGGACTTCTATATTGTAATATAAAACTTCAACTTTCGTCGGCATATAGACCACCCGTATAAGAAACTTTCTGTCAGATATTAAAACTCTTTTTGAAACCGAAAAACTGAGAGGCTGATGTACTAAACATGCTGGCTTAAAATTGAATCAGTTTTCTATTGATAATAACATTCAATTGCAATTCCTGAAGAACCAACTCATTATGGAAATAATGGTTGGGTTCATACATTGAACATTAGTATTTTTAAGAATATAGATTTTGACTTACATCTTTCTGTTTTGCATACGGTCTCCTCTGATCACTTATCAAGTTTCTTAACGATTGAAGAAGGATTCATATTACCGATAAATTGATACCAATTTAAAGAACTTCTAATTGGCAAAACATTGCATGGAAGCTTAAATAATATTATTGATTTAGACACTCTCTTCTTAATCGGAGATTACTGAGAGAATTCAAAACGCAAAAGCAATTCATCCAATGTATCCCCATAACAATTAAGAACAACTAAGGCTATTATTCAGAGACGTGAACGTTCAACGAAATTGGCTCTTAGAACAAACTAAAAAATTATGATATTCCAGTTGAAATGATACAACTTTTAGCAAGCCATTTTAGCTATTTGTCAAATGGAGAGTTCTTGATTAAAATCCAAAACCACTTTTTATCCATAAACAAACCTAAAGCAAGTGTCACTTAATATCTTCGTTTGATTAAGCAACAAAGAAGAATTTATTTGTTTATAATGCATTTATTAGTTGCAATTGACATTTTACTGTAAGGTGTGGAATATGGTTTGGGACACATTTTATTATTCGTTGTTATATATCGTTGTTTTCCAAAGATTTTTGTTTTTGGATTGCAGGAAATGGTCACTAGTAAATAGAAATTCCTTCAAATGCATTGTCCTGAACACTGACCCGATGCACTATCGAAACTCTTTAAACCACTTTTAATTCATTTTATAAGATGGTGTGTAGAATTTTCATTTTCCTCGTCCATCTATCTTTTTGTCTCGGAAATGGTATTTTTTTATAATCATTGTTATTTCATTTTGCAAATTCACCAAAACTTATTCGTATTGAACGTTGTTAAAGCAAAAGACGATAACTTATTTGAGATACAATATAGATTCAAGGTTTTAAATAGTACCAGATTAATGGAATATCGCCAACTATACCGGTATAGTCGTATAATAAGTCATTTGCACTTTAAGGTGAAAAATAATGAAATATCTTTAATTTTTAATATAATACTATTAGTCAAAATTTCGTGTAATATATTTCTCTTACACTTTGCTGTTTCGAAAACCGCAAATACTTCAAAACAAAAAATTTACTATAACTAATAGTAAATAGTAATAGTATAACTAATTTACTATAACAAAATAAGAGAGCGTTAAGTTTACAAATAAATATTTAATTACCTCCTTGAATTTTCGATATTGCTGAATTCTTATCTTGTGTGATAGGCGGTGTTGGCTTATGTGATTGACCTGTTGCTCGATACATAGCCATCACCCAAAGACTACATTCATTTTCATCATCACATGCAAAAGCTATACTATCACCTTCTCGCACTGCATTGAAAAAAAATCTTCCTCCATTTAAATCTATACCGAACATTAGATTCGCTATGACATGATAAAAATTAAAAATTAACTACCGATGATGACATTCATGTACAATTAAACATACCGCTTGCTGCTTCTATATAATCAACTGTATATCCATCAAGTTGCATCATTTCAGACGGTTCAGACTTTTTCTCTTTATAGCTACACATTGCAAATGTATATTGTGATACTTGCACCAAAACAAAATATCGTTTCTTCCATTTTTTCCACACTGACTTACCAATAGCAAAAAGATATCTAAAAACAAAGAAAGAATTTAAAATATTTGAAATATCATTCAACTAAATCATTTCCATAGCAAACTCACCCACAATGCTTCATATTTAATGGCTTATCTAAACGGCAAGCAATTTTAATTCGTAAATCTTGGTCAGGCAGATTTTTTGGAACCAACATACGATGCCACTCAGGAGCCTATTTTAAAATGTACAGACTTCCATTTAATACATATTATGTACAAAGGAGTAAATATTTAAAACTGTGACTATTTCAATTAACAAACATTGCAACAAATAAAAATTTATTTTATGATATATAGCTTTAATCTTTCATGGTCATAAAAATTATAATTTGTTCAGTTTAAGGTTTCTTATTTTACAGTATAGAGCACCAACAACCGTTGAAAGTATTACATACATATGTATATGAAAGCTTACTGCAAAAATACTGACGAATTTGATCAAATTTCCTTCAGTGATTATCATTATTTCATGAGTATTTTATCAAGCATATGGAAAATCCATAAGTAATTGAAAATGCACAATCTCATCTGTGAAGGGCTGTAAGCCTCCTCTTATAAACTGTTTCTGAACATTTGTGAATTTATGGCCGCGCTGTGGCTAACTATGTGCCTATAACTTACCAAAAATTTTCTCAAAACAATCTAATACTGCAAGATATCAGTAAAGGGCATTAAAATGATGTTGGCTATATTTAAATCTAGTTTTTTAACCTTGCCATTGATTATCATAACCTGCTACTTTTTGCTCAAATTGTGGATTCTCACATCCAAAGATATTAAGGGGGAAGTTATGCCCAAACATATAACTTCAATCATTGCCTGTTCATAACCTGCTTTTTTTTTTTTGTTCAAATTATTGATTCTCACAATCAAAGATATTAAACGGGAAGTTAATATAACTTCAACTGATACCAGCGGAATTCCTTGGAGTTCCAATTCCAATTCATTAGCGTATTATACCAAAACGTGTGTGAAGAATATAGTGGTGTTGAGCCTTCACAGCTGATATCCACGTAAAACTCTGGACCTTCATCCAAAGATATTCTTTGCACAACAAAATATAAACACGATTTTAAGAAAGCGACTAGTATTGACAAAATTATCCTAAAAATGATGAAATCCATTTGTCATTATCCATTTATGACAATAATTTGTGTTACTAGGCTTTCCATTGTTGTATTCTAATTTGTGTATTTCCTACTGAGTAAAAGAAATGTGGATTATAATGACTTACAAATTAGATAAAGATTCTATGGCTTTTTCATATAAACTCATAAGTATACCTATAGCCTTTCGAAACTCTTCAAAAAACTACTTCTATAAAAATGTCTCCTTTTTTGGATGACCGAAATTTGCTTTATCACAATTTGGCTTTAGGAAAACTATGGACCATTGAACAGGTTATATGCTTCTTTTTAATTTACGTTATAAATACTGACTGTGTTTTAAGAAAGAAATTATTATGTATTGCTTATTTCAACCTCAAAAAGTTATTTCATAGTCGTAAGTCAATGCTGACTTAATTCATGCAAAAGTTACCAAGTTTTCTAACTTAATTCATAATTAAGTCACTATTAACACCTAAGTCTTATTTTAATTGTTTTATTTTAACAAATATTTAAGCTGAAAACTTTAGTTATAAAAAATCAAATACAAATAATAAATTAAAATTATTTTACAAAAAATGTGCATATGTACCCAATTCGCAATAGGTGAGTTTATAGTTTCTGTAAACCTACCACATCAGCTGTTAAATAAAGGTTATATAAATAACATTTGTTATAAAAAAATATTGGTGTTTACCAAGTATATACTAACGGGCCTATTCTGTGGCACTTCACAGAATTGTCAAATTCTTTAATAAAATTTTTGATTTTTATAAACCAGAAAGCTTTTTGGTATTCTGGACACATCTTGACAAATTTCAAAGCTCAAGTAATAAATGCTTCTCACCACACTATGGTGTAAAGTGTTTTGTATATAAAACTGTTCGTAACTGTTCGTAATTGTTCGTAAATAAAATGGATTCTTATACAACGTAAGTATTTAATAATTTATTCTTTTTTATTTTAAATAATATTTTAAATATAAATTTCTATTTGTAGAAACACAAAACGCGAACGTGCTACGCACGAACAGTTGGAATTGTATGTGTCGTTTTGGACAATTTAGATGGAATTCTTTTTCTTTAATTAAATGCACATATTACCCGGTTTTTACAACATTTTCTTCCTCAATCGAACTAGGAAACTTTATTTCTCCTCCTTTCCTTTCAGTACTACTAAGAGACGACTGGCTCATGGGAACGTTGAAGTTGTTGCCTACACATTTTTGGTAGGAGCCGTGCCCAAAGAAATGTAATGCTGCCAAAACCCATATAGTTAAAGGTAGTGAAGTTTTTTGTTTATCATGCGGTTCCAGATCATTGATGAGACGCCTGCAAATTTCACGCGTTAAACGAAAATTTTGCATAAATGCATTTTCGTTCAATAAAAATGGATCACTGGCATCTCGCAAATGTCTTAAGTTACGCGCGAGATATACTTTTTTAGCATTTTTCTCTTCTAACAATATTAGTAACAGTAACATATCTTCTTCCATTGTAACAAATAACAAAAATGCTTAAAAAGAGCATATTTTTATAGTTGTCAACAGCATTTGTAGTATTGACAATTAACAAGAAAAATAGCTTTTTATTTATGTCACAGAATACCAAAACCTTGACAGCAGTCAATTTTGACAAGTGTCAATGTTTGACAAGTTTATAAAGTGCACAGAATAGGTCCCTAAGACTATATAATAAATATTGTCATGTAATATATAAACGAATATCAAAAATAAGTTACATAATCTTTTTATGTATGCAATTTAGTATACCTAAGTATTACTTTACTTTGTAGTATTTTTGGCAGAATCTAACGAAACATTAGGTTACAAAAAAAAATTCACCTCTATGAGTCTTCTATAAAATAAAAGACTACATTAGCCCAAATAATGCTTAACAAAAAATATAATAAGTCTGTCATTAATATATAAATAATATAAAGTTTTGCAATTTTCATTTCTGCACAATTTTAAATGTTTTTTTTTTTTGTTTTGAGAACAATTAGAAGTTAACTTACTTTTGATGAAACCGGAGTTGGTTTGATTGTCACTTTTCCCAATTCTTTGTCTTCTAAAGCTAACATACCGGGATTTTCTGTAAATAGTTTCACTTTGACCACAGGGAGCGGATGCGTTGTGGTAAAATCGCCTTGGGTATCCCACCTTCATAAGATAAAAAATAACCAAAATATAAATCATGATTATCGTAGAATTATATGAAATATGCTCACATTGGTTTCGAAGCTTCCGCCTGATCTGTTTGAAGCTTTTCACCATTTTCAACCTCCATTGTGCAATAAACAATACGGTTCGGTGAGAGCGATTTGAGACCTTTTACTTCCATCACAATTACTTCAAGCTGAAATGTTAGAACAACATCTAACTTGGTTAACTGTGTAATAACATCTTCAGAATCCCCTTCCAATTTGGATAATGAACCATGTGACCTAAGGATCATTTTGCTAGAATTTAAAATTTAAATTAAATTTAACACATTTTCATTGAAAAATGATTGTATATTATTTATTACATAAATAAATAAAACAACATTACTTCATATTATGCTATATAATTGTCATCACTCAACAATCCATCACGTCACAATATTGAAGGAAATGTACGTTTCAATTTTTCAGTTGCTTGGATCTAGATTTCGAGTAGGCAGAGGTGGTAAGAAATACTGCACTGCGGTACTTATAGATATTTCACAGACATTTGATCGAGTATGGTATAAGAGCTTTCTATTCAAACTAAAACTGAATCTACCCTTACATTTTTTCATACTTATTAAATCATACCTCTCGGGAAATAACTTTTTCATTACATTAGTTTCATGGTAATAAAACTACAGAACTTCATGATATAGTAAAAGGAGAAGTACCTCAAAGTAGTATAATAGGACCAATGCTTTATCTTTTATATACTTCGGACCTTTCCCTTACGGATGAGAATGTAATCGCCGTATTTGCAGACGACACAGTTGTTTTATCATTTGACAGTGACCCAATGCATGCTTCCACTAAACTACAAATCTACTTCAACAACTTTGCCCACTAGATGTAAAATCGGCATATCAAACCAAATGAAATAAAATCTGTTCAGGTAATATTCACAACAAAAGATTCTACCTGCCCGCCTCTTTTTAAAAAACAACTCACAATAACCGCATGCTGTACAAACAAAATACTTGGGAACTCATCTGGATAGTGAACTTACCTGAAGAACCCATATATTAAAAAAGCGAAATCCTTTAGGTCTCAAATTGCGAAACTTATTTTGGTTCTTCAGTCAAAATTCCAAACTGTCACTCGATAATAAGCTGCTAATATACAAAACTGTACTATGAAGTTGTAAAGCCAGTTATAGGGTATGGCAGCAGACCTAAACCTGGCTATTATCCAGCGGTTCCAATCTAAACCCTACGCATGATCTCAAATGCACCTTGGTATATACCTTGATACACAAATGAATAAATGACTACAGTGGAAAAAAATACATCGTATGTATTTATAAGACAGTAAAGAAGACAGTGCCGCGTTAACTGTAGAGACAAAAAAGTTAACGCAAGGCGCCATGGCCTTAGAACAAAGAAGGTGTCCTATTGTTATGCGTGCTTACGTTTATACTAACCATCACTGCCTATGGTAGCGCACACAAATTCACACTCAGCTATTTTTTTTTTTTTTTGCATTTGAGTTGCAGTTTTTTCATTCAATTAAGACCGAATATTATGCTGCAATTTGTTTATTTTCATAAATTCAGCGAAATTCACGAAAATGATATCATGTCGAAATTTTAACTGAAGTTAAATTTTGTTAAATTTAATTTCATTGTTTATTTTAATTTATTTTGGTTTCTTTTAATATAATATATCACCTAAACATTCTGTGGGCTCTGGTGAAAATTATTATCAAAGATGGTTTGTTTAAAATGTAGTTCATATCGTGAAAAGCATTTTCTATGTAGGATTATGATTTCAGATGTAAAATTCACTTTTTCACACCGGAATTTGATAAAAGCGGAAAAAATATTTTATTCTATTTTGAAATTTTCAATTCTGTGGTTTCTACTTTTGGCAATTTCCCGCCAACTACCATTTTTTGTTATAATTTTATAACCTCAAAAATTACACATAAAGAAACTGTATCCAAAAATATATGTATGCTCAGATTTTAGGACCAGATATCAATCTATATTTGTAATCTACATTTTTTAATGCTAAATAGTGGCTAAAAAATTTAAAGTGTGTTGAATCTTAGCTTCAGATAGTGCTTATAAAAAATTTGGTGCTGCTGTGCTGCGAAATTTCTTTTTGGATTGGTTTTTTAATGAAGCAAAAGTCGAGTTATTATTTCGCTTTTATGAAAATCTTTGCAGCGCAGTGACAGTACGATTCCGATTCCGACACTTTCACCTACTGGAAATGCAATTATCATATAGAAAAAAAGTTGTAAGGGCTTTTCGTTTTAATCTGGAAACTATAGGACCAGGAAGCAGCGTTTGTGTTGCTGGATTCCGTTAATATAATATAACTAGAGAGTAGTTGCTGTAATTTTCAATGTATGTCAGCTCTTTTACTCTTGATAAACTTAGTTCATATCAGTTTTCTGTTAAAATAAATGGCAACATTTTTTACATCATTGGGTTGAGTACAATAATATTATTAACGTAACAAGAGGGCACACTTACATCCGCAATTGTATTTGCAATTGTAGAATTGTTAATTCATTTATATTAATCATTATGCCCTTATGTCAGACTTTATAAAGAGTTAATGCCTTTATAGAAATATTCTTTAGCAATTTAGTGGATTTGTTCAATAGTCTCATGTGTTGTTCTAAAGCCAAATTGATAAGTAGATAAAACTTGTTGTCGGATCAATAAAAGCATCATATTTGACAGCAACTTCTTCTCAAAAATTTTTTAGATAGCTGAAGGTAAAGATTGATGTTTTCTTGACTTTGGAATTATTTTTATTTGAGACATTTTCCAATACTTTGAATAACAGCCAAAAGAAAGAATGATATTGCACATCACTATCAGGAACTATTTTATTGGTTTAAAAAGATCCGGATAATGATATTTTTAACAACATTAAAAGATTGAAAATCTTTTAATTTTGGATTTGGTTGAAAACGATCTTGAGATAAAATAATATATGTTTTATTTTTATTTCGATTTTTTTTTGTTTTGTCGGAGTAAACATAACAGGAAAATAATTAAAAGATAATTAGTAAGAATGTTATCAATTATATCTTCACGTTTCAGAACCTTAATGACACCAAAAGAAGTCCAGTTTGTTTCCATTATCTGACATCCAATAGGTTGGTAGTCTGAAGAAATAACATTAAGAACACTACCAAGTGCCGCATTTAATTGACAACAGTTATGGGCTATCAGCCTTGAACCCCAAATGGTGTCTTTTGCATTCAAATCACCAGAAACTAGAAATTCAGAAAACGGAATTTAGAAAGAAATTGTTTAGTAGTAACTGCAAATCGAAGTAGGCAGTAGACTGATATGAATAAAATCTTCTTTGGTTGAGAATTTACAGCTGGTAGATATTCATTACTGTGATTTTGGAGTTCGTAACGTTCAATTGTGTTTTTAACGAATACACGAGTTCCACCACATCGTTTACGATCGGGATGTTAAGTATCGTAAAATGTGTGTCAATTAATTTGAAAACAGTTTTCAAGAAACAGATACTGAGAAATGTCTAGTATTTGTGGGCTTATTCATTTGGATTTTACAAACCTAGCAGTTAGACTTTAATTATAGATTATTTTTCGCATCAGACTTTTCATTATCTTTTGCAGGAGTTCTATGAAATGTTCGATTTTTTGAGTAAAAGATGTAAGCATTGCTTCAGAGCCTGAACATGAACTAGAAGTCTTGGTAAAAACTGAAATTTGCATATATGAACCGATATGAACACATTCGTATTATTAGTATTTTTACTTGACTTATTACTGGTAATGATTAATGACTGATGATCGTTGGTGAAAACAATTAGTAGATTTCTTACAATAAATTAAACTCTTTTAATGTTACGAAAATATACGTTTAGCTATATTTTAAATAAATTTTATGCATACAGAATATTTTAATTTAGAAAAAGTTGTTTTTTACTTACAGAAATGATGGTGTGCTATAACAAAAGTGATATAAATCATTACAAATATCTATTCATGAAATTGTTTATAAATTTTACCTATGATTATATCGTTTCAGTTTTTGTAAACCGTATTTACTATCCATTGTGCCCTTCGAAACAGGTAAAGATTCCAAATTAGCCATAAGTAAATTAATTGATGACTTAAGCTCTTCCACGTAAAGAGACTCCATTTCTTTTAAGACAAACTTAGGCATGAGTTTACGATTTTTTTCCATTTCACTAACCCTTTGCATTCGACCATCTAATTCACGCCTAATTGCTGCCGCTTGCTCATCCGCAGAATCTAACTAAATATAAAAAATTAATTAAATGCTGGTTATTATTAAACACTATTGTGAAAAACATTTATTTTCAAAAAATATGTACAATTGAAGATAAGTTTAATTAAAAGTAGTAAGGGTACTCATCTAAGCAAATGAATTTATCAAATGTATAATTTTATGCGTTTACGTACATGATTATACCATATAAACACACTTAGTGAAACATTTGTGTAAATTTATCAATCTGCTGTATGATAGCACTATTTATATTAGCAATAAATATGACAGCACAAAATGCAATGCCCAGCAGCGCAATTTTTTCAACCAAACTTTTAGCCAATATCCTTGCAATGTTGAATATTTGTGTAAATTTCATCGATCAACTGTGTCGTTATCAATAAATTATAAAATAAAATGCCGCAGTGCAAACTTTCTGTGATTCTTATCCTCAAATTTTATAATGTATCCACATGTGGCTAACCTTCACCTAAATTTAAGAATGGGTGTGCCACTGTTACTCTCGATTTGTCGATAATTTCTCATTATTTAGTTATACAACTGTGATTTTGCTCTGGTGCAACGGACACGAATTTGCCAATATAACAAGCCATTAGTTTTTGGTTCTACTCAAAATTTTTATATCAATACAATAGTAGTAGTCCATATGTAACCGCAGCTTATTTTCTCTGGATTTAATCCAAGTTAAATTATGTCTGCAGGATTAACTTAAGATGATAAATTGTGCCATTCATCAACCTGTGACAAATCTTAAATTCTGTTTAGTCAGTTTGCAATAAATGTACGTCATAAAATTGCTGACGATTTGACCCACGATATAACACTTTCGGAATCACACCAATAAAATGCAGGTATGCCTGATATGTGAGATCCTGGCTTACTTTATATGTTATTTCTGTAACGCTGCGCAAAATGTAGTTGGGAAAAAATTTGTTTTTTCATAAGGCTATTCTGAATTTTACTTAAAGCTTATTGTTTTTCCTTGTCATACGCTTTTTTGAGGCATCGGAAGGCATATGCATTTGAGTAGTATCTGACACATGAACGATAAAAAATTATATATTCACCTTTAATGTGTTCATTGTTAACAGATCAGTTTTAAATTTCCTCTTCTAGTTAAGTTGCAAGGGGTAATTCCATATTTCAATTATATTTTCGTTGTCCCAATTTGTGTATGTATATATTAGTAAATACCGTTACCGGTCCAAAGATTTCTTACAAATCAGATTCTAGCTGGATCTGATGATACTAATAGCGTTTTCAGATGAACAAGGACCTGCCGCGGCTGAAATCTGTCGAAAATTACGATATGCTCCATTCGCTAGCTTCGTTAGTGTCACATTCGATGTCTGCAAAATAGCATATACTTGTGATGAAAGCTGTTGTAGTCAGAGGAGCTTGAGAAACTCATGTCTCACCTTATCTTTTGATAACGCTCTCGGTGAAACCAGCAATTGTGCTTTCCAGCTGCAAGAGGATAAAGCACAGCATCGCTTACATCAGTTATAACACTTAACGCAATCACTGCCACCACCGTGGTGAACTGAGTGAATGCATTTCAGATATCAGTCACTGTTCCTGTATAGAATGACATCAGAATATCTGAATCGAATTTGAAACAAATTACGATATCACAATTTATGCGGTTGTCTCGAAAATGAACTGTAGGGTAAGAGCAGGAATCTTCGCGTCATCTAAAAGCATGAACAATTATCTTAAGCACCTAATTAAGACACGGTTTTTCAAGCTGAAATCTTAGCAATTAAAGAAGCCTGTCGGTGAATTGAAAGTTACATCAAGGACATCTGTAGTAAAGAGACAATCGACGAGCTAAACCGGTTGGCTGACATCATCCTCATCTGGGTTCTTAGATATACGAACATCGAAGGGAACGAGAAAGCTGACAATTTAGCCCGCTCTGATGCTTCCCGATGGTACCTAGAGATCATGTGCAACTTCCAGGTTAACATGACCTACCTATAATAAAACTAGATCGCGGGAACTCTTCAAAAGAGACTGCGTGAACACTGCAAGGCTTACTGCAGTTCTTTCGTTCTTTCTGGCGTCTCGAAGAATAAAGTTTTTGGAAGATACTACTTTGACCGTTTGACTGTTCATTAAATTATCTAAATTCGACGGGATGGATTTAGTCTTAACTCTTCTATGTTAGGGGTTCCTGAGAGGTATGTGGTAGCAAGCTGGTGAGAAATCGCTAATTGAGGTACAAGGAAGTTATCTAATAGCCTGCCACTGCAACCAAACAATTATCACCGATTTAAAGCGGTTGTTATTGAAAACAAATAACAGAATATTCTGAATAAAAAATATGAAATAGAGAATATATATAAATAGAGACAACGGCTGTTGAAATCAGGAAGGGTGTGAATCACTAGTAGTAACTGCAGTATATTGCCTAAAATACCAAACCTATAAAAAGATTTGTGCCTGTTAAAATCTCTTGGCTAACATTTTATTGCTGGTAGAGACTTTAATTGCAATTGTAAATTTCTTTGTTCTACATAAAAAAAACACCAAATTTGCTTGTATTTTTTGTAATAAAACAAGTTGATCGCAATCCGATAACGGACGAAGAGCTTTATAAATTCTCTGTTCAATTATCAGTAATTGAATTACTTCTCTCAAGTTCTGTATTCTGTACATGCCAATGGTATGTGAACAAGGTGAAAGGATCCATCAGAATATCTCTGTAATGGGAAAAAAGATATCAAGAGTATTGGAATGCACTCATGTTGGGAGATTATTGTTGGATCATTATAAAAGAAACAAATCCTACAAACTATGAACTATTTATATGAATTATAAACTGTGCTTAAAACTGAAAAATATTATGCATTGCAGACATTTCTACGTAAAATACTAAAATATCTGCTTTGTACTCAATCCTTTTCAATCAGGTGTTTCAAAAGGCTTGTATAGAGTTCTTGGCATCAGTTATGGAACACCTAGTTATACATTTGCATACGGTCGTCTTAGCTTCTAATTGGCTCATATAACTGAATAATTAAGTATATGTAGAATAAAAAAAATAATAATGAAAGAATAAGTTATACACTACAGCCAGTACAACCAGGATACCACTGACTATCAAAAACACATCAAACAATTAAAACTGATAATAAAGCCAATTAACTTGGAATAAGCATTGATTCAAACGGTAATATTTAAATATACCACATTTACTGCTAACAAAAAAGAATTCCGCAAACAATAATTTTTATAGAAGGTATTAAGTAAGAGATCCAAACTGTCCACTAATCGCAACTCATCACTTTTGCTATTTTTGGGTAAGTATCTTATCTTATACGCCCAGTAACTACATTGTGGTTGTAATAGTTAACTGTATTTCAAAAAACAGTATAATAGATGAAAGAATAAAATTTAGATCGTGGGTGTAATCTCTTACAATAATTAACCCGGTGCTTCATCGCAATATTATTTCCTAATGGCTGTCGTTTTAAGAGGACAACTGAAGTATAAAAATTTTAATATTTTGAATACTAAAGATATTTTCTACTTAATGTACTTAGTGATAAAAAAGTCAGGGCAGAGAAAGGGTTGGCCAGATGATAGTTATACACATTATATGTTAACTCAGATATAATTAACATATGCATATGTTTCAAAATGAAATAAAAATTAGTTGATATTGTACTCTATTTATTTTTTCAAGATTGTTTTATTCGAGGAATAAGACAAAGCTTCCAAAGCATAAAAACAAATCACTCCAGCATGATTAAGTGGAAGAATCGTTTTTGCCGCTTAAAATATCAATAGACATGATTTTGAACAACATCACTCAAGAAACTTGATGAAGTAGTGAAAAACAAATATATTAACTTCATAGTAGGCTAACTATAACGAGTACTAAGTTTTTAGTAGAATTTTATTCTATATTCCCGAATCACTGTCACATAATTTAAATTTAAAAACTGTAAATTACCTATATTACTCTATAACATCAATCTGCCAAAGTTACGCAATGATGCACAATTACATTAGAATCAGAAATCCATCCATTATTTAAGTTTCTTCAGAGAATTGAGAAACAAAAACTGTATTGCCTTCACTAACTAACCAAATAAAAAGAGAATTTAAATAAAAAACTTCTATATTTTTCCTTATTCGACATAGCCGCAGCAAAGAAAAGTAGAGTATTAAATCGGCTAGATAAAATAGAGTGGCTAGATTTATTTGGTTCAATATTATATAAATAAATATAAAACAAAAAAATAATGGATTCTTAAATATCAATATAAATAGTATGTTTATTATTACTTCTTCCAGTCCTGCATTTTTAGCCTCCTCACTTGTATCAATGAGTAGAAGGAGTGCGTACTTAAAATTATTTATGATTAAGTTGTTTTCCATCTAATCGATGTGGCCCTTGATTAACCAACTAGTTTTATTAATTGTACAAGATTTTTGGCTAATATAATCGCTTTTATAGAAGCCGTTTCTACCTACATACTTACATCACTTTAACCAGAAAAGTCACAAATGTCTATTAAGAGAAGAGTAGAACAAGATCTTGGCTCCCACTGTAATTAACGCATCCATTCACAAAATAATAGGCTTAATAGGATCAAACAAAGCCAAGAGTCTTGGATACGTAATTGTCTCTAACTTTTTTGATTTAATTAATATGGTACAACAAAATTGGCCAAATTACCATTCGAAATTATTGAGCCAACTCCGATAACAGATTGCTTATACTCTTACATAATGTTCTAATTATTAAGATAATGCCCTACAGGTATGAAATAATAATTTTAATATTTATGACTAAATGCGATATGACTAAACAACATTAGTTTTGTTTCAGCAAACAATGATCTGGGTCTTCTTGGCCGAAATGGTATGAATCACAAATAAAAATAATTGATAACGCTTCAACGCTTATTATTTTTATTTTTTTTTTTTTCAAAATGTTGTTTTACTGTGTGGCGGCAATATAACAACTCTGTCCATATATGTCAACGTCAAAAGACAGACAATCAGCTGTTAACAGAAAAAGGTTGAGTATATAGAGAAAACCGAAAACCGACGCATCAACATTAGAGCCAGCAGTATTATAAATTTGTGTAAATTAGTGTTGCTTAATAATAAATCTTTTAAGTTTAAAATCAAGTCACAAGCGTTTACATAAACACATGTCTACAACTGTTTTACTTGCAACTTCAGTTTTTCATTCGTTGTTTGCTTTTTATACTAACTATACTGTATCTTATAAGAAGTCGCATTGTCAACGATATGTTGCATTAACTACGTTCTACTTATGTTTTCTATATTTATTCGACATTGAACTAGAATTTGAACTATATTAATTCCTAGTTCATCACAGTGTTACTGTTTCCCGTGTTACTTGCTCAGATCATCGTTTGCTAAAACAGAGCTATTATTAAACTCACCATTAATGCGTTAAATAATATTTGGTGTTCAAACTTTTTCACACTTAATATTTGTTGGAACATATCATATAACTGCTCTTTTGATAAAATTAACTCGCTATTGAGTGATTGTTGCATGCGCGATGGGCGTTTAGTGTCCTCCTCACCACTTCCTTTTAATATTATATCAAATTTTGCCATCCAAGATGTCAAAACTGTTTCTTTACTTAAACCATCAATTTCGGGTAACGATCTAAAATATAAAATAAGAGAAATAAATAATCTAATATTTAGGATTTTTTAATTACCTGACGCGTTTTTCAATATTATTTCGAAACACTTCCCGGAAATCATGTTGGGAACATGCGCCTGATTGAACCATTTTTTCTACTCTTTCAGATTTCAAAAAAACATCGTGATAACTTTGAACAGCGTTTTGAAATGCTTCATCCGCCATTATTTGAGTCTCGCCTTTCATAAAAGCCTATAATATAAGCCATAAGTTATGTTGTTGGCATAAGTGATACAGGAATGTTAGACAACCAACTTACTTGAAATCGTTGAGTAATTGCTTCAAGTTGCTGCTTCCCAATTTTCGGTTGTCGTTTTGTCATATCTGTTGGTTGCTTTGCATTAAAAGGATAAGATATGCACCGCGAAACAAATACGTACAATTGTATACGATGTTTTCTTTCCTCCTCTTCTCTTTCGTGCTTTTCCTATAAATTTATAATTAAATATTTTATAAGATATAGAAACATTTCTATAACAATGTTATTGCCAAGACATATGTGGGTACGGAGACCCACAAAGCAAAGCATTTTAAAGATATTTAGGATATAAAAATTAATAAACCCGTATTATTTGAATATTTATTAAAAACATATATTTTATTAAACACTGGTACAAAAATTCTTGGGTCGTATAAAATATGTAAGAAATTGAATTGATTTACTTTCTTATAAATTATGAAATTATAGATCTGAAGAGTAACTTGTATAGTATCCTTGAATGAGGATGGTATTAAAAACTGTGACGACACGGATACATTGTTTGATTTTGTTGAGGTATCACTCAGTCGCGGTCCAGGTCGTTGCAATAAATTTGTGTTATTGACTAGTTCAAGAACTAGTAAAAGACCAAGTAAAGGGTTGCAATAGTTTGTAGCCAATGGCATCAAAATGCCGTGCGACGTTATAAACTATAAAAATGCAATGATCCTAGCCTATGGCATCAAAATGCCAGTGACGTTATAAACTACTGGTCTACAAATTAATCTAGCTATAGTATCAGAATACTACTGGCGTGAAATTTCCCTGGCGTCTTAGCAAACGACTAAGATATCTTTCATATGTATTCGGCGTCTATTTATATAAAAAAGTACTTAAGAGTACTTTCGTTCATTGCACGCACATCCACACAAGTGTAACCCTATAACTCCAATTATGTTAAAAAAATCTGCCCTTCGTAGCAATCTCATTCATTACAAAGATTTTTAACGCCATAATAAAATTTGGACATATCCCGACGGAATGGAAAAAAGCGTTAATGTTTCAAAAGCCCGGAAAAAATGCAAAACTAGCCGCATCATATAGACCTATAAGTTTGCTGCCTTGTCTGTCACAATTATTTGAGAAAGTGTTCCTTGCAAAACTTATGCCTTTTCTCCATGAAAGAGACTTGATCCCAAGTCATCAATTTGGATTTCGTCAAAAACATGGTACTATCGAACAAGTGAACAGAGTAACTAACGAAATAAGAAGTGCTTTTGAAAATCGAGAATATTGCTCTGGTGTTTTTTTAGATGTTGCACAAGCGTTCGACAAAGTATGGCATGATACACAAAATACGACAAGTACTCCCGCAAAACTCACACGCAGTACTTCAATCATACTTGCTAGGCAGATCTTTTAATGTAAAGTACAATATGCACACAACTAATGACTTTCCAATAAGTGCAGAAGTTCCACAAGGCAGCGTTCTTGGTCCATTATTGTACCTCATCTTTACTTCAGATATCCCTACAAATACCAATTTAGTAATATCAACGTACCGCTATTTTGTGCCGACATAAGAATGCCGCAATCGCTTCCAGTCAACTGCAAAATCATTTGTACTCTATTGAAAGCTGGCGATTATCACTATGGCGAATTAAAGTCAATGAGCAAAAATGTCGTCATATAATATTCTCTCTTAACAGATCCTCATCACCAACTATCACTCTTAACTAAATAGTAGTTCCGTAAACAGAAACAGTGACGTACCTTGGTATTCACCTTGACAAACGCTTAACTTGGCGGAAGCATATTGAAACAAAAAGGACTTAAATGAATCTCAAAGCATTAAGCCTTCGCAGGCTAATCGGTCATCAGTCTCCCTTATGTTTAGAGTACAAAGTCTTGTTATGCAACTAAATCATTAATCCAATCTAGATGTATGGCTTACAGCTATATGACAATACCTGTTCGTCAAATGTAGAAATCCTGCAAAGAGCTCAAGCAAAGATCTTAAGAATGATAACTGGTGCATCCTGCTATATCAGAAATGAAAACATACATTTCGATTTAAGAATTCCGATGGTTAACGGCGAATTCGAGAGAATAAGGCAGAAACATATTTCAAATCTTGAAAACCATGTGAATCCGCTGGCTAATATGACAACTTTCTCTAGACTAAAATGGAACAATAGACCCGCCATCCTACTTTCCCAATGATCATCCTGAGTAATTCAATTTATACACCGTGACATCTGGTAAATAAGCCCTGGCTACGTTTAAAAGTTGATGCATTTCTTACTTAAATTGTTAAATTGCCTTACGAAGTAATGGCTCTGCCTCAAGCATCAACCTTTTCTTGAAGCTTGGCTTGTTTTGTGGGGGCTGTGCGTGGTGGTGTTCGCTACTACGTTGAAAAACTGTTGGTGGTTTTTAATATTTATATTTTTCTGTTTTCTGTTAAAAATTAATATTAACTACTAAATAAAGGAAATATATAAATAATGAATAAACTATGAAATTATTATTCATATATTATTATTATTATTATTATTATTATTTAAATATATTTCTTTATTTATTGAAATTATAAATCAGAGTTATAAGTTTATGTATGGCGGAAATCTGTACAAAATTCCGGCCTTATAAAACTAACCAAATTCTCTTCTATGGTAGTTCAATATTTTCGAGTTAATTCATTATGTACTGGCGTCTTTTTGGATTAATCTCAATGACACCCTTTATTTCAACTTTACAAAAATTTTCCCTAAAGGGAAAAGAAAATAGTTTGGTGTCGGAAGGAAATCAAATACCCGTAGATTTAGTTGAAACACTTTTGTTAGATATTGTTTTTATTTACCATTTCGAACTCATGTCCCACCTAGGTTTAGTATTAGACTATTATTTTGAATCGGAGACTTAAATATTTTTGCATTTCAAAATATATTACATTTTTAAGGGTCCAATACTTTTTCCAAGTTTTTCTTTGTTTTCTGAAAGTAATTAAACTAGAGTTCATTAGGGGAAATTACTCAAATCCCATAAGGTGTACTTGGGTTTGTAATCTAATTTATAATTTTCAGTTGCCAAAAATATAGAGTCATCAAATCAGCAAATTTTAAGAATTGTACAGTAGAAATACTAGGCCTCGAAAGACAATATTCAACAAAAATTATGAATGTATTCGGTCCTGAGGTATGCAAATAAATACAACTTGCAGCTGACTTTCGCAAAATTCCTCTATTTTTATGAGGTTTTCCATCAAATCATTACATTATATTAACTTGAATTTTAATTATTGGGACAGAAATGCGTTTTTTTTTCAGAAATCTTTTCCAAAAGAACTAGCGTACGCTATGCTGCAGTACTTGAAAACCCGTTTAATCTGAACCATTAATTGGAATACGAACAACATGAAATGTGAGAAAATTATTGTTGCAGATAATTGTAATGCTAAATTTAGGCCTTTAAAACGCGGGTGTTGTATTTTTGTTGCGCTAAGAGCGTATTATGAAATAATTAAGAAACATAATTTTTAGTACGATTTGGCTTAAAAGTTAAAATGGTTCTGTATCATAAATAGGTGTAAAAGAGCATAATTGGTTTGAACTTACACCAATAAAACTATATTACGGTGTCACGATGCACTGTTTATTGGGTTACGTGGTAATAAAATTAAAAATAAGCCCTGTACACCGTGTACACGCTTTTACGTAGATATAGTACCATATATTTACATTGTCTTATTTAGGCGATTATAATCACTAATGAGCATGATTTGCTATGTAAAGAGCTTTCATACATATCAGCTCATTTACAATAAATGAGCTCATTTTAGACCAAAAATGTTGAACTTAACTCTTAAAAATAAACTGCCGAGTTTATTTACAGTCGATCAAAAACAACAACGTATTGATGATTCAAAGCAGTGTTTGGCATTGTTGGCCACGTAATAAATCAGATTTTTACAACGTTATGTGACAATGGATGAAACATGGATCCATCACTTCACTCCGGAATCAAAACGATCATCATCTGAGTGCACTGTAGCCGGTGAACCACGTCTGAAGCGTCTAAAGGCAAAACAGTCAGCTGGGAAGGTTATGGCTTCAGTATTTTGGGATGCACATGGAATAATCTTCATTGATTATCTCGAAAAGGGAAAAACCATCAATTGTAACTACTACGCAGCATTACTGGATCGTTAGAAAGCAGAAATTGTGAAAAAACGATCGCATATGGTGAAAAAGAAAATTTTGTTTCACTAAGACAATGCACCATGTCACAAGTCAATAAAAACGATGGCATAATTGCACGAATTACACTTCGAATTGTTTTCTCATCCACCGTATAGTCCAGATCTGGACCCAGCGATTACTGGTTATTCGCTGATCTCAAAAAAATGCTCGCCGGTAAGAAATTTGTATCGAATGAAGAAGTAATTGCTGAAACTAAAGCCTATTTTGAGGTAAAAGACAAATCCTTCTACAAGCATGGCATCGAGAAGTTAGAGAAGCGTTGGAATGATTGTATTGCCATTGAAGGAGATTATATTGATGAGTAAAATCGGGTTTTGGTAGAATAAATTTGTTTTTCTTATTTAGTCACACGACTTATTGAGTAGTATGTTATAATAGCATAATATGTTATGCACAGGCACTTACTGTTGATATATCTATTAATTTTTATTAGAAAGATGCGATAAATACATATATAATTATACTAAAAAATATATTGTACGTGATGGAAAATAGTACCTTCAAAAATGGACACTGTTGTAAAGCACACGAAACATAAAAATAATTTAAAGCAATAATTGTCACTATACATTTAAATTTTGTTGTTTAGTGGATCTACCCACATGACCTAGGGATCATAACTTTGTAATATTATTACAATGTGTTATAGGTACAAACTTTTAAAACAAAATATGTAATAATCTTCAGTTCGTAGACATAATCTTAGAACTGAAATATTTGAACATAGTTATATCTAAAACTGCTACTTACATGCATATCTCCATCATTTCTATCGCTGGCAGTTGATGGTGAAGGTGATGTTGGCCTGGGTAAAGAGTTGGTACGAGATGAACCCACACTCTGAACAAGAGTCTCTTGAGATGGACCGCTAGATGGCGACAGCAATGTTTGATTTGAAATTTGATTATTATTATTGCTATTGGCTACTTTTTGAAATTGTGCAGATAATACTGTCGCATTGCTGCTACCATTACCACTAACACTTCCTCGGGATTTGTTTCCTTCAATTAAGTCGCTATTATAATAAATATTAGCAATTGGTGTTGCTGGGCATTTTGTTTTAGTGTTATTGGCAAAAGCAGCAGCAGAAGCAGCAGGACTATATAATCTTCTATTCAAACTCGTTAAGTCGTCTTTTTGTAGTTGACTTTTGTTAACGTTTTTTTCATGAAACTTATTATGATGATTTTGTTGCGATAGCATATTATTAGTTGGTTGCAGATGTTGTATAAAAAAGCTATTTTTGTGATGATTTTGATGAATGTTTATTTGAGATTTTAAATTAGAATTGTAAAATCTACATAATAAATAAATCACAATCACATAATGTGCTCAAAGTTTATTAATTTATTTAAAATTTATTCAGCCATTGTTAATAAGCCAATTATTTAAAAGCCAATTTCAAAAAATATAATATATGTAACCAATTTCCTCATTCAGTGCGAAGATTTATGATTAAATGATATGAAACGCGTTCGATATACAAAATCCACAACGTGTCAAATATAATTGTCAAACAAATTTCCAAATTGTTAAAGTAACGTTTTTGTCATAATTTTGATGTGTTGTGATTGTGGTGGTAGTTAATGTTGATGTTGGTGATGGCATTCATATTCACCAAATTTAAATTTGAAAATAAAAAGCAAAGAAATGCATTACTATTAATTGAAAAAATATGTATAAGCAAAAACATCAAATACAATTGAAAAACTGCTATTTTTCGATAATAATTCACAAGAAATCATACGATGCGCTACGGCATGCTAAATATCGTAGCTTTGAGATGTATACGCGAATGAACACGCTCAAATAGAAGCGATCCGACACACTATAATATACTTAATTCTAGATACACTTCAAATGGTGTTAATTGAGTTAAGTACTATTATCCTTTATAAAAACTAATCCGTTTAATATCCAATAAAATGTTACACTCATTAATACCAAAGAATACTCAAAAATGTAAGCCTTTCTTAAATTTATATATATATATATATATATATATATATATATAAAATAATTATAAAATAAATATAAAATTACAATAAAATAAATTCAATAATAATACATCAATAAAATGTTGTAGTTGCCGAATTGTTAAATTTCTACTGACTCTAACTTATTAATTTCTTTTAAATATAGTCTTAGGCGTACATTATTATCATTGGTCGTACGGTGCTAGAGTTAAAATGGATAGATTATTATAAAATCGATCTAAATCAGCCTACAAGACTTTGAACTTGCATTCGCAAGCTTAATGAGGCGGCTGGTTATCAGTAAAATTACTATAGCTCTTTTTCACAAATTGTATGTTAGATATGGAGCAAAGAGAACCGCGGCTTAAATGAAAAATTTTAAATTGATGACCGCTCAACGCACCGAGGGGTTTTTTTTTATCACCATCAGTATTGTGTTTTTATTTTCACAGGTAAGTATTGGTGAAGACAAGCATTGACTTTGAACATTTACCTGAATTTGACTAGAATCTAACGGACAAGGTACCCATCAGAAGACTCCACTTATATGGTAGAGTTACATGAGTAGATTAACCAAGTAATAAAATAATAATACCAGTCTAAGTTAAAGGGATACGATAAAAAAGCACAATATCAATTGCGCAACATAAGCATTGGTGAAATTATTGCAAGGGTGTAGGAATCGAAAGCAGCCAGGCTAATAAGCATCCTAGCAAGGTTACCATGCAACTTAAAGTGTTTGAAAGATTACTCTGTCTTTTATTAGATACACATTTCACATGCAGTAACCAGTTATTTATCCAGTAGAACTACAAAAATCCCGAGACACTACTGTACCTTGGATTGGATTGCTACATCTATAAGAAGCTGTCTAAATTCGGACTTTATATCGTTAAAACGAAGAGAAACGAGTATCTCATTCGCACCCGAGTCTGGTGGGGCTTACCTCTTTTCTTCTAAAAACACTGGAGATATTACTGGATGCACACATAAGAGTAATTTTACTAAGTTATAAAGTATTCTCTCAGAGATGCTTTCCAAAGAGGGATACTCTGAACTCTTAAGAGCCGGTAAGCTCTTAACTACTAGTCCTAAAGAGTAGAGTTTTCCATCACTCTTCTACCCACGATTTGTTTATAGAAATTAAAGGTAAATATCCGAACACACTTCTGGATGTTTAACAATCGGAAATGGTATTACACATCTTGTAAGATATAATAATCTTATTATAATTAATAATTATAATTAATTTATAATCATATATAATTATAACATATATAATTATAGTTATAATTATAATTTAATTTTCTAATAATAAATTTATAATAATAAAAAGTATCCGTAATTTTTTTGGTGCACTTTTGAAATTTTTTTTATTGTTGTAAGCAGCAGAGAACCGATCAGCTTGTAATAGACAAATTCCTCTTGAATACCACTAAATACTCAACATAAACATGATTGACATAAATCCAGGTTTAAAAGTTGTTTGTAAAGGGTCACCTGCCTTTGACCATGATTTCTTGCTTTATTTATTTTTATCTTTATTTTTATTTGTTTGAAATTAAAATTAAGATAAATAATAAACCTATATTATTTGCTTTTTATAAAAAATTAACATTTTTAAAAGCTTTTCATTTGGTTTTGGTCTGTTTGCTGGTAACTTTATTTAAAAAGCAAAATATAATAATTACAAAAACAATTTAAAAAAAAAAACCATGACAATGAATGGGGTAGGATAAACCTATATCCGAATTGCACAATATCAAAATGCAGTTTTCTTAGAGACGAAATTTAACAGTTTTTCCATATTTGCATAAAGCTGATGAATTTTTTTATGTTATTAAAATTATTTGTACAAATATACATTTTATAATAATGAAAAAAAAAACTAAACAATGTATAAAATATATCTTTACAACAAAAAATATATCATTATAACTATCGTATAATATAGTGAATATTAAAAAATATGGGCCACTTATTTCCAAATCTCAACTTTATTAGACAAGAATTATATTAATCGAACTTTCAGGCAAATGCTTTACAGTCTTCTCTGCAGTTTAAGAACTCCGTTGCAAATTTTCACTGCGACATTTTAAGATTACGCCTAATATGGCACAATGACTTTAAAGAAAATTGCTGAGCTGATGAATTGGTCAGACGGGGTAATAATTTTCCATTGAACGTAGATATAAACGATATTAGAATACATATCACCACCTATGAATTATTGTTAAAACATAATGATTAGGTTTGGGCAATAAAAAAAGCCTATGTAATATCTAGACCAATACGGTAATTACTTCATAGCCATTATGATAGTCATTATGCTCTGATATACTTACAGCACACAAATTGTTATATCTTCTGATCTCATTCAGAGAAACAATGCAAACTATAATTATCAGTCAAAAATATTTTGTTAGAAGCACCTTTCTTGTGTCTCATATTTAACAGACAAACAGTTATCTAGTTTATCTGAGGAGTTCTTTTTGTTATGTAAACTCTAAGCTCAGAGGTCGTGGTCAACATGTAACTAGCTATAGTATCCGCTACTAATGATGTTGATTTCTTTTTTACCATTGGAACTTTTGAGTGTCGTTAATAAGGCTGATTTATAATTGAATAACAAATTGAATAAAGTTTCAGTCCAGGTGGCTTTCGTATTTGACAAGTTTTTTTAATATTAATATATTTTGGAGTTTAAATTAGTATTTCCTTTAATTGTTAATTGTTTGTTGTTTCTTATTGTTTTTTATTTCAAGTGGAGACCTTGATTACCAAATACTTTGCAGACTACTATTTGCTTTACCAACACATTTATGAGAAAACTGATATAAACAACTTAGGCTGAGGTGTATTTTGGCTTCCGCTTGTAACGGTGTGTAGTGAGTTCTATTGTTATTTTATGATTCTGCTTTGTCTTGTAGTGATGCGCCAGTTCTCTTGTTTAATATATTAAGTGTATAAAACACAAAACGAAAGCAAACAGCACACTATCGGAACATACTGCATATATACAGAACATCAAAAAATTTATATAAAAACTTTGTGACAGAAAAAAGAAGACACAACGAATAATTTCAAACAACTGAAATTGAAGGCATATATACTACCTTGTTTTTTCATTGATCAACCAAGCATACCCGTTAAAAAGGATTGGCAGATCCTCAATACAACAAACTAGATTAAATGGAAGTATTGCTAGGAATAGAGTTTGTATATCAGCTGCTCGGCATTGGTGATATAGAATCCTACCATATGTTTTTATACAACAACATACATTGCTGGGATTGATTGCTGGAAAAATAAATGGTAGAAGCATAACTGACATCTCAAACATATTGTATTTGCTAAGCGAACGGCTGTTGACAATTAGATGAAGATTTATGACCAGTCAAGTAATACACTTCAGCAAAATAATAGTGCAAAGAACATTTTATGACTAATACGCAAAAAAACTAATATAAACAATTCATAGTGAGATCACTCTTTTGGCAAAAGGCAACAAATCTACGAAAGCTCAAACAAATCCCAGAAAGAAGTAGAAAGGAGTAGTATATCGACTTTATATAATTGTTTACTTTTCAATTCAAAAAGTGAAAATTTTATTCAGATATTTTATTGATCTATTAATTTTGAAGAATCTATTTAGTTAAAACTGTTTTAAAGAAGCACAGTACATTAATTTTAAATAATCGCAAATAAAATTTATTTTAACGAAATATTTTATAACTTTTATTAATAAATATATAAGTCACAACAGTATACAGAATTGTTAGAAATTTCTAATAAAATATGTATAACAAACTTTAGAAATAATTTTTTTTCGTTGCCTGACTAATACAATTTACCAATTTAACAATAAAATAAAATTTTCACCTAAAATAACCTTTAATTTAATGTACACATAATATTCAAAACTACAAACAAAATACATGCATTTATAATGCTAACAACAACAATGCGCAGTACACTCATTGATTCACACCACTCAAGTATATGATAAGTACTTAGAGAAGCACACTAAGAAATTTGTTCGCAGTCTTGTGACGCATATTCATTAGAACCGGCGCATGTTAACAAAGCCACTCATGAATCATTTGTGTTGTGAGTATGAGTGTGTATAAGTAGCGGATGAGAAAAATATTTTCGCGCACTTATACTCACTTTTCATGAGTGTACTCTAAGTTTTAAAATTATGACTCTTTACAGATTCTTGATGCCTACTAACAATTTCAATAATAGAAAATATAAGCTGTTTCAAAAAATATTCCAGTCTAAACACGATAGGAAATTTGAGACACTTTCTAAAATAGTA